TGCTAACATTCAAGCCCAAACCACCAAGGAATTTAAGCTCATGCTTCCCTTTCCCTGTAAGACAGGGAGTCATCTGTAAACACAACACCCTCAGGGGCTGGGACTCAAGGAAGGGGGCAGCAGAGCAAAATTCACTGAACCTGCCTGTTTGCCAAATACCCTGGCACATCATTTCCCCGCGCCCCTGATTTTAAAGCATATCTTTGTTCACCAGCTCCACCTGCAAATAAATATGCTGAGAGCCTCATGGAGTTGACGTTCAGCGGGTCTGTGCAAAAAAGAAAATAAACCTGAGCCTTCAAGGCTCCCTCCCCAGTCAGCAGACAAGGAGAAGAGAAAGCAAGAAAGGTATAACCAGAGTACCTTAGTGTTTATATGCTTTTCAGTTGGTCTAACAAAGGGCTGATATTAATGCAGATAATTAAAAAACAAACTCCTTGGGATGATTTATATCTTGAGCATGAGGTTCTGGCAGAAGAAAAGCTGGGATACTACCAAAAAATGAAAAAAAAAAGGATTCTTCTCACATGACAGAGAGGAAAACTGAAAAATATGACGTGCCAGGCCATGCTGGTCTTCCGCATGGCTTTGGGAATTTCTGAGGCAAGGTCTCACAGGGCAGAAAGTGAAATGGCTCTGCTGGCTGTAGCGTAAATCCATCAATTTACGACTGCTAAGGACTCCGTCCCATTCTGTGTTCCATTCTTTCTAAGAATGAGATTATTAGAATGGACAGAATGTAAACAGAGAGGAAAAAAAAAAAGACATCTCAGTGGCTAGGGGCTAAGCATAGGATTCAAGACACCTAGGAGAAAGTTCAACTTTGACAGAGACTTCCTACATCAACTTGGGTACACCCCTTATCTTCTCTGGTGTCAGTTCCTTATGGACCAAGCGGCGATCCCTATAGGGATGCAGTAAGGATATGTGCTCTAAAGACTATGAGGCATTGAGATCGGGTAAGCATCTTATGAAGATCCCAGGAAAAGGTGAAGGACGCCAGCTGTTGCCAAAACGGTAGCAGGCAGGGTTGTATCACCGGGGTGCGCACAAGCCAGCCCCCTAAGCAGCCATGCGCCATCTTGATAGTCTTGTTTGCTGAAAAGGAGCATTGACCACAGCCGGGAAACCAGCAGCGAAAAACAAGCAGCTTATCTGGCCCTGTGAACCCCCCTGCTTCCCTTCCCAACAGCAGCAGGGAGCACGATAAAAGCTCAGATGAGTCTCTGTAGGAACCCAAAGCCGTGAATCTTCCGCTCACCCTGTCTGGCCAAAATCCCTTCATTTGTGGGGGGAATTTAGGCCAGTTCTAGCTCTCCGCCAGAATAACAGAGGAGAGAGTTAGAAAAGAAGGAAAACAGCCATAACTCAGCAAGTACAGTCAGAAAGAGAGGAGCTGAAGGTGCAGAAAATATTCAGTCCTCTGCTACACTTGCAGCTTTATCCCATCCTGCTGATCCTTCCAGATTTCCCCCACCATGACAATGGCTGATATTTTAGGTTGCTTATAACCAAGGATACCATGTGCCATTTAGAAGAAAGAAGCCTGGAATGAGAAGAGCTATCTGCTTCTTTGGGAGAGGGCTGCAAACTCATTCCATTCCCAACTCAATTACTAGGCCATTTCCATGCCAATAGACATTGATGGATACCTCCTCTGGGCTCCCCTAATGCCATCTTACTGAGGGACACCCCTCGCAGCGAGATGCACCGGCATGAAAAGCTCCATGGCCTGCTGGCTGGACAGCACGAGCAGGACCTGGGAGGGAAAGGGGCAGTACGGAATTCCTATCGCTCTCCTTCACAGGCACGAAAGAATTAGAGAAAGGAGAGTATGAGAAGTGAGAACAAAAAACACGCAGCCAAAGTTTGAGGTGGTTAAAATGAAAAATGGGCCTGTGCCACTCATAGGTGGATGGAGAGATCAATCAATTGATCTCGTCTACACTGGCACACTTTGGAGCTATAATTCACTGCTGGGGCAATTATTCCAGCATAGCAGTGGCAGGACTTATATTGGAGACAGAATTTAGGTGCTTTTAGTCAGTGGAGAGCTGGACAACACAGAAGTAAAACTGTGTAAACGCCACTCGCCAGTGCAGACGTACAGGATGTAAGTTATGGCTATGCAGTTGCAGAGAGACTGACAGATAAACAGAGAGACATATAAGAGACTGAATTTTGACTGTGCAATCATTTGCTGTCTGGCCTTAGCCTCCCCACTGCTGTTAGCACGCGCAGTGTTTAGCATCACGGTATCCCTGTCTCTTTGCCGTGTTACTGTTGACTTCTTTATCCCCCCTGCACTGAGTAAGTGCTGCTGCCTCTGGAAGGTGTGAGGAATTTTTCTTCATAAGCCTTGATGTGTTCAAGAAAGGGCCGGGTTCATCTGTGCTGTGAGTCTGACAGCGGCTTTAACAGCCTCCGAAGGCTGGGACAAATAGCTTCTGGTCCCTTAACCCTTCTCAGCTTTGCAAGGCAAGGCCCGCCACTGTTGTTCCCAGCGCAAGGGCTTTGCACGGTCTTTCAGGCTGAAATCCTCTCTGTGGTGGCTGGGCAGGGAGGAAATCCAAGGGCTGGATCAGATTGGCCTAATGCTACAGCAGCTTAAGCAGTCTGTTTTACCAGAGATTATGGTTTCACTTACACAGAGCGCCTGAAAAATGCTGTGGTTTAGAAAGGATTATAGCTGAAAATTCCACGCTTTAAAAGAGAAATAAAGCAGGGGAGGGACCAGGAAGCCGAATGTGCCTGGGGGCTGTGCAAACAGGATTAACCTCTGCCCATAGCACCTCTTGCTTCTGCCCACCCACGTTTCCCAAGTCCACCTCCTCCCCTGCCCTTTCTTCCCCTGGGGCTCCCTACACCTGCCCTAGGATCCTCTCTTGTGTTCTAGGCAGGCCTGTAAAGGGAATCTGGAAAACACCCAGCACGGAAGTGTCCCCATCTTGCTTAGATATGATGGTCAAACGGCTTCATTGAATAATATCATTTGACCCTTGGCCCTGCAAACATGGAAGCTTTCGGCCCTCTGTCTGCAGATAGATCTGTAACAGCATTAATCCAAAGCATCTAGGTAGAATTTACCTACTTTGGATAAAGGCTTCAGCACTGCCAAGCACCTGGTGACTGCCTGCATGGCCTGGAGGTAAATCTGTGCGCCCCTGCCACCCAATGGCAGAGGAGCCAGGAGAAAACCAGCTTTGGGGGCTCTCTGTCTACAGATACTGGGCAAGGAGATGTAGAGAGTCACGTGTGGGGCTGTAGGATAGTACACAGCAGTGTGAAGCGGAATCTGGATGCTAGTGTGCTGCTTCCTTTGATGATTCTAATTAACTGAACACTCAGCTTCTATTCACTATAATCCCCCAGGAAAGGTCCTTGCTAAAGAGTTTCCTATGGCAAAATAGGAGAAGAAATGTTAGTCCTTACTTGGCACCCTAGAGGCTTCACGTAAGCAACCTCTGCTCACAGAAGAGGAACCGCAACCTACTGGCCAGATCTTTCTGAGGGTTCCCAACGGTCTGATCGATGACCATCTTTCCTGAAAAGGAGTCTCAGTAACCTAGGTCAGAAAAGCCTGGAGGAGAGCACAGATGGCAAACTATCATTTTTGCCAGTAGCAAACCTCTAAGAGACAAATCCTTCAAGATAAACAGCATTTGCAGCCCAAAACGGCCCAGCCCTTTACTGTCCAGGTGAACACTGCAGCTTTACAATAAGGTCCCCAGACTTCATTAAGCTAGTTCTGCGTTAATGAAGTCAGATTTACGACCTAATTATATGTCACATTTATATTTCTCTTTATAAATCAAAACCACTAGAGCTAACTTATCTCATATGCCATTGGTTATACTTGCTGGCATTGCACAGAAATGGATTTCATTTACTGGCTTTACTGTGTTTACCTGAGGGTGGATGGTTTGCTAGATGACTTGGACAGGATCTGATCACATCATCCAAACTTCCCTTTCAGGTGTTCAAATACAGGACTCTATTACGGCTGACCCAACAACACTGGGGGTGCTGGTGTACCCGTGTTTTAGGTCACTGAGTTCTACAATTCCCACACCTCTTAAGTGGGAGCCAGGCTAGGAGCAGTTTCAGGATTCTATCTTTTGCCTGTGCAAGTTCTCCCAACAGAAATGGAGACCCACTGAAAACGACAATGACAATAAGACCTTCTGTAACGTCCCCCACATCCCTCTCCCCTTCTGTCTCTCCATCAAGATATCTGCCTGGCAACCCTGTACTTTAGGAACTACCAAAGTCAGTATTGAGAGCTTTTATGATCAAAGCTTCCAACTGTGCCAGTGTAAACAAGATCAATTGATTGATCCATCTATCCTCCTATGAATGGCACAGTCCCATTTTTCATTTTAACCTGTACCTCTTTTGTCAAAGTGTTTATGGAGCTTGGCTTTGCAGGCTTTGGCCATTTCACTGAGCATCCTGTTTAACAGATGCCCATTATCGTGCAGCTTTCCTAGGGATGGCTACCTTGGGTTTGAGGAAACAAAGTGGTCAATTTCCTGGGCCAAACTGTGTCAGTGTTGCACCTCCCGAGCCGCCAGGCCAGCAAGTAAAAGGAGTAGGAAAGGGAGCACAGAAGCTTCAGAGCATCCTTCTCCTTTCCTCAGCCCTATGCTTCATCCTGTCCCTCCCGTCTCGCATGCTTCCCGCTCACTTCTCCGTTCCCGCATCCCATCCCTCCCCTGCCACCGCACTCCACCCTCACACCCCGCTGCCCTGCAGAGGCATCACTGCAGTTCAGGCCTAGCCCCCGGGTGTGTTCACTGCTGTTGTCTCAGCACTGGCTCCTCCTCTACCCCTAACCCTTTTATTTTTATGTTTATTTCCATTTTTAAATTAATTTCCCTGTAGATTTTAACCACTCCATTTTCATTTACCCATTTTGTTCTTCCTCTCCTCCCTCCCCTCCTCCTCTTCCCGTCCCCGTTCCCTTTGTCTGTCCGTGTCCATCCCTTGCCCTACCACAGAAAACCTCTCCTCTCCCCTCAGTATAAAGCAAGAGCCTCATGGAGCCTCTCTCACCCCTTTCACCCCCACCACGCCGGCGGGCTCTGGGCAGGCTGACCTGCAGCCCTTCCACCTGGCCCTGTCCGACGATGCGTCCACGCCTTGCTACGGCGCCTTCCTCCACCACGGCGCCCACTTTGGGCAGTCCGGCAGCCAGCCGCTCATAGCAGGTAACGGCCTTGGCCGCGCACGCAGCGAGTGGGGATGCTGCTGGAAGGGGGTCGCGCTCGTCTCACGGCGAGGCCAGGAGATGCTGCAAGCTCTCTGAGCGCAGGGGCCAACCACAGCCACGTTTCGTCACGTCTGCCTGTGCAGCATGTGCTCGCAGCTCCGCGCGTTTCAGGCCTGGCCTTCACTTTTGTAGAGTAAAGCGGGGAAAAAGCTGTAACTATGTAGAAGTGGCTGGTGCCCCAGTTGGATGGGTTTGGGGCTCAGTATGGAACCGTTTATACAGTGAAATCCTGTGTTACCTAAAGCAGCACAAGGCCCTGTGTACTGCATGCATGGCCAGAGCACCGTGCATCAGTCCAGGGCAGATGACTGCAGCCTGGGTGACCCCGGCAGCTCAGGACTGTCAGCGGGGCCGTTCATCACGGGTTGTTACAGCTGCTGAGAAGCTGGGTAAATGCAGGAGCAGCCAGTGAGCAGCGCCCGGCTGCTCCGGGTGCAGCGCGTGGCTCTGCCCGCTTGGCAGGGCGAGCGGGGGCCTCAGCACCACACAGAGAGCCAAGGAGCAGGGCAGGATGCCAGCCATGACCAGCAAGGGAGGGCAGGGACCACAGTTTTATAGCCAAAGAAACACGACTAAGGCCTTCAAATGTGCAAGTGAAGAAAGTAGACT